ATTACTCATGTTTAAAAATTATAGTTTTTCTATATTTTCATGTTAATTTTAGATTTTATTTATTTTTCACGTGGCAATTGCTTTCCTAAGATAAATTATTTAAGTTATTTTTAGTTTGTTGGTTGTTAGTATTGCGACATTTAAGCAATCAAACACATAAATTTAAGTAGTTCGGCCATTTATCTACTCCACAAAACTATTTGTTTGTATTAATCACTTAAAGAAATAATACAAACAAAGAAGAAACGAAAACTCTTCTCAACTCAACTCTAAACACTCAAGCTCTCCATTCGTGAAAGCTTTAGTGTACCTTTATTTTTATCTCTTATGATTCTCATGCCAAGTATTTGTTTAGCAGCTCCTAGATCCTTCATTTCAAACTATTTTGACAACTCCTATATCATTCTACTATTATACATGGATGCTATGTTAATTGCAGGATCCAGCATTGAAGAGATTGACAAGTTGAAACAACTTCTTCATCAAGTGTACTTTATTATTTATTGAGGGTTTCTTATACATCCTAGACAAAGCTTCCATCTTGTAAGGATTCTTCATAAATTAGTAGTTCACCACCATTTGTTAGCAAAATATAATTCAGTAGAAGTGTGAACCGTTGTGGAAGCTTTACAATCCTTAAAGAACTGTGAATATAAATAGTTGGTTCACTAAGCTCTGCATCTTGTTATGTAGTAGTAGGTATATATGTGTTTGAATCTTCTTATAAAAACTCATGATTTTTGTTCTGCTCGGTAATATTGGGGAGCCCTTCTAATCTTATAAATTTAGATTTTTGTGGACTTGCAACTGAATCAGTCATATCTATTTCTACATTTGATCTGTCTTACAAAACTTTCTCATTGAAGATCACATTCCTGTTTCAAATAATTTTTCTATTCTAATAATCCTAGAACTGAAATTCAAATTCTTCATGTCTATAGCCAATAAAGAAACATTTCTTAGATTTGACATCTAGCTTGTTGCGAGCATCAGAATCTATATGCACATAGAAAACACACCCAAAGACCTTTAAATGAGAGAGTTGTACTTCTTTTCCTCTCTATATTTCCTCGGGCAATATGAACTCCAAAGGAATTGATAGTCCACGATTGATCAAGTAAACTACAGTATGAACTGTATCATCCTAAAATGTTTGAGGTAATCTAGAATGCAACCTCATGCTTCTAGCTCATTTATTGATGGTCTTATTTATTCCTTCAGCAATGTCATTCTATTGTAGTGTGCTTGAAACGATTTTTTCCATTCAAATACCTTTGACAGCGCAATATTCTTTGAAACCTCCATCAATATATTCTCCTCTATTATCAGATCTTAGGCATTTTAACTTCAAACCTGATTCAATCTCAACCATAGCCTTCCATTTCTTGAATGTTTCAAACATATCAGATTTATTTTTCAGAAAATAGACCCATACCTTCTTGTAGAAATCATAAATAAAAGTCACATAATACCAAGAACCTCCAATAGATGCAATTAGAGACGGTCCCCATAAATCTGTGTGTACCAGTTCTAGCTTTCTTGGTCTTAAGGTCCTGCCAACCTTTAAGAAATTGAGCTTCTTCTATTTTTTAAGAACACAGCTTTCACAAATGTCTAGATCAATATTTTTTAACTCTGACAGTTTTCCCTTTAACTGAAGAATCTTCATCCTCTTTTAACTCATATGGCCGAGTCTACAATGCCATAGTTATGCTTGATTTTCTACTTCAGTAGAGGCAATAATGTCTGTAAATCTTGTGGTCATATATAGGGTGCTGTTTTTCTTTCCACGAGCCATTATCATTGCTCATTTCAATACTTTTCACATACCTCCAGAAAAAAGTATTGAATGACAATTATCATCAAGTTGTCTGACTGAGATCAAATTCTTCTTTAATCTAGGAACATGCCTTACATCAAGTCCGTTTAGATTACTGGATGCTGGAGATGAAGCCACGTGTTAGAAGAAATAGTGTCTATGACTTACTAGATCAAAAATCAATATGCTGATGTGGCTATGCTATGATGATGTGTTAGACATGTAAGCAATGCAGGCCCACATATGATGATGTGTTAGATCCACGTGGATCTTCGATTTGACGTGCCTGTGCTAGCGTGTACTGGTGACGTGGCGGGAGACGTGGTTGATGACTGTGTAGTATTCTTGTTGTGGTTGTTGACTGTATGCTGATGTATCGAGTCAGCCCAGTTCAGTTGCAGGTATTTGACGAAAGAAGACTCGTGGAGCATGTGGTGCGCCTGGGTAGTGCTGTCGTTGGCGGGTCTTGGAGCGTGCGAGTATGCAAGACGTCAATTCTTCACCAGGTTCCCACTAGTGGATTCGTCTTGTCTTCTTCTATACGATGGTATGTTTAGAAACACGTTTTAAGAACTTTGATTTTTGAATTTTGATCAAACACCATCTTTTTTAAGAACAAACTCTGATACTAGTTGTTGGAACATTCAAGCAATCAAACACATATAAATTTACATGGTTCGGCAACTTGCCTACTTCACAGAACTACTAATTTGTATTAATCATTTTAAAAAATAATACAAATAAAGAGGAGGAGAAAACTCTTCTCAACTCAACTCTACATATTCAAGCTCTTTTTACTACTCTCTCGCTCTTAGTTTTCTCTCTATTTCTCAGCTCTTCAGTGTGTTTATTTATAGACAAAGCTAAAGGAACATAGAATATAAATCATGCTATAATTTATGCCATCAATTAAGTCTCTATTATATTTCAAGTGGGATATTAAATATTCCAACTTGTCTATAATGAAGGTGAGACAATGATTATTTTCACTAATAATTAGTTTTATTGAATAAAATTTTAAATATTAATTTTTTCTCAAAAAAATATGAAAGGATGATTTAAAAATGTGGTTATGAATGTTTTTTAAAGTGATTTTTATGTTAAAATATATTAAATTCTTTTATTTTTAAAAAGATATTTTTAAGATCACTACATTAAAATATGGCCTGCATTCTGTGCCTAAACATTTTCAAATTTGATGTCATTTTGAGTTTAGAGGAATTAACAAATCATATTTCTCACCATACATTATGTCACATCAAGTGTGCTGTATGCACCAACTGCGAAAGGAAGACGAAAGCGACATCACAGTCTCCAATGGTGACACCTAGCTGGAAGATGAGGGCATTGAATTGAACGGCCACAACAAATTAATGACAATATATTTTTCAGTTTTCTCAAATTCATATGAACCACTGCTTGTAAATATTGGGACTCCAATTAGTTCATGCGTCATCATCATCAATATATGTCTAAACACTTGTATTTAAGAGGTTGTGTTGAAGAGCATGACGAAACCATTTCATCATACCTCGCTGAATATATTGAAGAGCCTGTTTGGAAGTATTCTTGTTGTTGATTTTCAAATAGTTTTTCGTGTTAAAATATATACCAACAATGTTTTTTTATTTTTTAAAAATTATTTTTGACATCAGCACATCAAAATGATTTAAAAATATTAAAAACATATTAATTTAAAGTTAATAAAAAAATAAAAAATTTTTAAATTTTTTTAAAAGCACTTTTGAAACGCAAAAACAAACCTTCTCTGGAAATCCTAAATTTTTTCAAAAACACTTTTGAAACGCAGAAACAAACAGGCTCTGAAAATCCCAAAAAAAAAATATTGAACTTTCTGATTTGAATATAAAAGAGAGCTTGTGTCAGACCTATGATTAGGGTTATACTCTACCGTATTATTAAATAAAGATAATTCAAAATTGAGATCGTGCTCATTCACCTCCTAGTCTGGACCAATGGACATCATGCATGCGCGCATCCTTTGATATTAGAGGCCTCGCCTGTAAACAAATTTCAAGACCAATCCAATGAGGGTGGCATATGGAGACTTATTCTTCCATCGATGGTTCATTGAAAGAGAAGATCTCTACAATGAAGCTCGCACCTTTTTGTGCTTTGATGGTTGGTTTGATGTTATAAGCAAGGATTCATAAGCTTAATGGATTGATGCTTATCTAGATGTATTCGACTGGTTTGTGGAGGATCTGTTTGAGTGGATGGACAATTAGGACAATGGTTGGGTGCACTGAGGTAAGGCCTAAACCGACAGGCTTTCATATAACAGGGTTCTTCTCTTTATTTTGGTCGGGTGCACTGAGTTTGAGAAAGCTGAGTTTGAAACTAAATTATTTTGATTGGTTTATGTTAAAAATAATTTTTTAAAAATAAAAAATATTTTTAAAAATAATTATAATCAACATCTTACTCCCTAATCACCTAATTTTTCAAGTGATTTCTTGGGCTCTCCAAGATTGACAGTGGACCAAGCCATTCTCGGTGGGTTGTGATCCGTAAAATTTAGAGCAATCGGAGACTAATTTCTTCCATTAGTTTTTTTTTTTTTTTCAAATACTAATTTCTTCCATTAGTTTTTTTTTTTTCAAAATTTTCCTCCTTATTTACAAAATATATGTTAGTCCTAAATTAAATTTATTTCTAATTAAATATTAAAGAGATCGTTTACATACAAATATTATGATTACATAATCTCAAGATTATTCAGTATTTAAATCAATTATTACAGTGAGTATGATTGAGTTTTTATACACGTGGAAATGGGAGAAATGAAATGAAATCCCCTCAACAATTTAACATGTATTTACAATTTTTTAATAAGTTTACACGTTAATAAAAAAATATATTTTAAAAAAAATATTAAAATCATATTTTTATATCGATAGTGCTAGTTTCAAGTTGAAAAGTTATGAATAATTTGTTTAATGATTGATGAGTAAAGCCATTTTCAACTTTTTCCTTTGCTTTCTCATCCTTTTAATTTAAAATAATTTAAAAATAAATTTTTTTAATTTTTTTTTATATATCTTGAAAATGTAAAGACAAACTATAAAATCACTTTCAATACAGATGGCAGATGAGCTGTGGTTAAACTCTTGAAAAAAGCTATATATTTTTTTATCCCTTTGCATTTCCTTCCTTTTCCCTTTAAACAAAGACCAAGAACATAACTTAGAAGTCTAGTCTTCCTTTCCAGCTAACAATCACTTGTACGCAGACAAGAACTCAGTTGACCAATGATACAAGCTAATTAATATATCCACAACCTTTCAGACGGCAGAAGAGCAGAATTTTCAGATCCCATTATATGGGCTCCTCTCTAACAAAATGTAAACAGCAAGTGGCTCAAAAACTGATGTTTCATTTTCTGGGGGCGGTCTCAACTGAGCAGGTTCATGTTTGATCAGTCTTGGTTCAAACTGACTCAAGCTCGGCCTCAAACTGAAGTTCGTGTCCTGGTTTGGTGAACTTCCTGTCTTTCACTCTCTAGTTTTCTTGAGTTTTCGGCATAATCATGTCATCTGTTGTTAGCTCTAGAGATGCATTGACCATTCAACAAATTATCGCCTCAATTCCGGATTTGATTGATCTTGTTTCCGCTGCCAAGTCATCAATTCCTTTGCTCCCACAATTAAATACCGATAACTCAATCACCACCACTACTCTTGATGCTCCCGCGCCCCCCCCCGCCACCACCAGCAGCAACGTTAATGACAACAATATTGGCAGTAACACCACCACTTCCATATCCACACCAGGAAACAGAAATAATACTACAGCTGCCACAGCAACCGCCACCGCCCTCTCCATCTCCACCTCTGGCCCGGCTCCTTCTCTGGCCTCTGCCCTTGACTCCGGCTCCGGCTCCCGCTCCGGCTCTACCAGCACCTCCACAACTACTGAAGGCGGCTGCAACAGCGACGGCAACACCACAACCAGCAATAATGCTAATATCAAGGACAAGAACATCACGGCCGATGTTGGCAATGATGGCAGTGTGAATTCTGAAGGTGAAAGCAACCAAAAACTGCATAATCAGTTGGAGAAATTGACCAGAGATTTATACTATGTTCAAAGCGCCTGTGACAAACTCAAACATCTAGAACTACATGTTGGCAACCAATTCAAGAGTCTTCAAAGACAAGGTGAATTCCTGCAGGGTGTCTTAAGGAATTTAGAACGAGTACGAAATGGCACCACCGGTAATCATGCCATCCTAACCAAGCAAATGCAACTTAACATTAAGTTAATTGCTGGGATGGTAATGGAGTTGAAGTATCACATACCGTCACCATACAAGCTGAATTTGGCCAATGAAGTACTCAAGTCGCAAAATGTTAGTGGGGGAGATTCCCTGAATTTGATCGATGAGATTCTTAAAATACGCGGTAACAAAGCATTTGAAGGGTGTTCATCTTTTGTAGATTTTAAAGAGAGTTATAACAGTCTTGATTTAAGAGATAAGCTTTGTTTGTTGTGTTTCTCAGTGTTTCCTGAGAATTCTGTTGTCAAGAAGAGATTGCTGATGTATTGGTGGGTTGGAGAGGGTTTCATAGACCCAAAAGTTGATGCTGACAAGCCTGAGGAAGTTGCTGATGGCATTTTGAAGAAATTCTTGGAGAAAGGGTTTGTTGAGCCTGAGATCAAGAAACGTAGACTGGTTGGGTTCAGGACGCACTCATTGATTCGTTATGCGGTTATTTTTGTAGCTGAAAGAGTGGGGTTCTTCCATTTTGATTCAATGGGGAATCCCACGGGGAACTTTTCAACTAGTCAGAGGGCTTGTTTGATCAAAACTGGAGAGAAATATTCTCGGCAGGCGCTGCTCGATTTGGAGTCGAAACCAGAGACACTGCACGCTTTGTTCAATGTCAACGATCCTTATCCAGATTTAAACACAGAATGGTTCTCCAGGATGAGAAACATTAATGTTCTTTGCTTGGGAAGGTGGGAGAACTCATCTAAGAAGAACGATGAAGCAGAGACCAATGAAGCAGAGGAGACCAAGCATGATGTTGAAGCGGAGAGCACCGAATTCTTGAAGGGATTGAGGAACATGAAGCAGCAGCATCATGTTGAAGTGGAGAGCACTGAATTCTTGAAGGGGTTGAGGAACATGAAGCATCTGAAGTTTCTCAGTCTGCAAGGAATCTCTAGGATCAACGAGCTTCCTGAAACCATCCAGAAGCTTGTCAATCTAAAGATTTTGGATCTTAATTCTTGCCACAATCTGGAGGCAATTCCAGAGAATATTGTGTCGCTCCAGAAGCTGACACACTTGGACATTTCTGAGTGCTACATGCTGGATTACATGCCCAAGGGGTTTGGGTCACTTACTGAACTCCAAGTCCTTAAGGGGTTTGTAATTAGTAATCTGAAAATAAAAAATGCAGGAACTCTTGATGATTTAAAAGGATTGCCAAAGTTGAGGAAACTGAGCATCTATACAACCAAGAAAGATTTCCCTAGAGTTCAAGACCTGAAAGCGCTAAGGCATATCACAGCGCTTCAGAAGCTAACAATTGAATGGGGAGGGAAATCCCGTGTCAAAAAAAAGGAAATTAGAAATGACTCGAGAAGACTGAGAAGGATCGATGCCTTTAGACAAGAGAACATCACTGCAGTGATTCCTGACCTTCCTGAACATTTGGTGAAGCTGGATCTTCAGTGTTACCCTGAGACTAAGGCTCCTGAGTGGCTGTCACCTCTCAGACTGAAAAATCTTCAGAAACTCTACATCAGAGGTGGGCATCTCAGTGCTCTGGGTCAAGCTCAGGGTGGAAATCAAAAGTGGAATGTCAAGATACTGCGTCTCAAATTTTTGAAAGAACTAAAGATGGATTGGAGAGCACTGCATGATGCATTTCCGCATTTGATTTACTTGGAGAAATTTAAATGTCCTAAACTGACTTTCTTCCCTTGTGATGGCACCGGAGTGTGGCTGGACAGAGAAAAGCTAGCAAACCAGCCGTTGGAAGAATTAGGATTGACATGGTCTTTCCTTTCCAAAAGTTCTACTTGAGTTCAAAGTATGTTCTACATTTCAGGCATGTATTTTTAATTTCGATTCCGTTCTTCATTTCATTACATCTGCAAGGTTGTTTTCTGTATGTAAAAGAAAGAGAGTCTGAGTATATTTGAGCTCCAAAAATATCATTTCCATTCAATGATTTTATATTTTGATTTTTGGAGGCTGTCCCATAAATTCTGATATGAACTGTCATGGAACTCTGAAGACTTGAATTTTGATGCACTCCATGATCATAGGATTTGATGGTCTACTTATTTTTAAGCTTCGAAGGACCAAGTTAGCAGGGAAACTAGAGGGATGATTTAGTTTAGCCGTGAGGCCTCCAATTCTCACAAACTGACCATGCCATTGCTAGGAGTTAGCAAGGGGCTGGATTCGGCCGCCGGTAATTTCAAATAGGAAGTGTATGGATCTAGAAATTCCTTCATGTAAATAACTGCTCCTGAATGCTTATCACTGCTTCATAATTTCATTGTTTATCGATACTGTAGGATATCTAACAGATAGGGTGGTTTCTGCCCACAAGACCAGTCCAGAAAAGAATTCGCAGCGCCTAATTAACATGTAGAATTAAGCTGTCTCAAAATATGCAGGCCATTAAACATCAGGGTATGAACTGATAATTTGTTTGGAGTTCTGTCTACACTTGGATGATGAAATTCATGTGAAATATTTATTTAATTCCATCATGAATGGTAGAAGAACTAATACTTAATTATTCTGTCCCTATCGTCGACTTTGTGCTGGCTTTAATTAAAGAATTTCCACTTGATATTTAACAAGAATTATATCTAGATGTATGAACTTTCTGTGATTATAATGCTGTACTCGCTTTTACAAAGACAAAATCGACCATAAACTAATGACAAAACCATAATGCCAGACTGTATGGGTATTATTTGATATTAGGCCTGCCAGGACGATGCATGTGGCCATGCCGGAGCCTGAGGTTGACTTCAGAAAGTCTTGGTCTTTCTATATTCTTGTTTTGAGTTATATTAAACCAAGATATCTAAAAATAAAAATCTAATATATTCGTAGCAATGAAATAGTTATTATAAAAAAAAAACAATCTTAAAACATTCTTGTAAAAATTTAAAAGTAATAACTTTTTTAATTTATTATTTTAGTATAGCACAATTAAAAATTTATAAATATATTTATTAGGTTATTTATGTAATGTATAGAGCAAAGTTTTATTTAATTATGAATTCGAATTACATGTTATCATAAACCTAGTTACATTATTGATATTGTTTTTTGAAATTTTAATTTTAATTTATTTTTTAGTTTATAAATTGAACAGATATATATTTTTTATTTATAAAATATATTTAGAAGGAAAAGTTTATAAAATTATGATTTTTATATGAAATAATTAACTAAATAATACAACTAAATCCAATTAGCCAATCAGTTGAGTTAAATAATTCTACTTTAACAAAAATGCGACAAAGTTAAAATATGCTATTTCAACCAAAAAAAAAATTCAAATGGTGTATTTTCATCTTATCAGATTTATCTCTTTTTATTTATTTATTTATTTATTTGGAAGGCCTGAATAACAAGAGAGGATGAACTGCAATGGATGATTATCCCACATCTTATGTTGATTGTGGTAGCTGCTGGCTGTTTTACCATGCTTGTATAAAATTGTAGGATTTTTAACAACGATGATAATATCCCATGTCGGCAAAGAGTTAAGAGCCTTGACAACTTGTATGCTTCAAGTATCACCTCTACTCTAGACGGTTTTCTCAGAACAAAATTCACCTCAAGGCCATCAGCCCTAACATGAGACAATACCTCCTAAGAAGCAGATTTGGGCAACTTCATCACATAACAAAATCATTCAGTGATCCAACTGCAAATCAATGTCTTCCGCTATGAGGATTTGTTGCAAGTAGAGAGAAGCCAAACGAGCAGCTATAGTAGGAATATTCAGCTAATATTGCAACTGAACGTGCAGAGAAGAGAAACTTTTCATTCAAAACTCAGAAATAGAAACATGACAATGTAGATCAAAGACAAAGGAGGTGAAAACCATAGAAAAATCTTGAAGGGAAAAGGTAATAATAGATCAAAACAAGCATTAAACATTTGAATTGCTGTCAGTTGGTAACTGTGGATGAACTGTCACAATATGACCATTAGGCACGGGTGCCTCTTCCATTGTTTCTTTCATAATTTCCCCAAGCACTCTTGCTGCTAATGGAAGGCCAGAACACTTTCTTATGATCTCCTTTTTTAGATCCTCCAATTCCACATTTGGGGGATTGAATGGTGTCCCATCTTGCTCAACGGCATCTTTGAAAATAAGCCAGCATTTCTCTTTATCTGCAAGAGGCAGAACGGGATGTACATTTTCCTCCCCGACCATCTTCTTTGCCAAGTCCTTATTCCTACTCGTAACAAGTACTGTTCCTCCATAGCCTTTCGGCAATCCATACGCAAGGCTTTGCTCCCATTTAACCTTACCAGTTAAAGGAGAATTCAGGTTTTCAAACCACGTATCTACTTCCTGAGCATCATCGAGGACAATCATATACTTCTTGCCCATCAGATGCACATGAAGTGCACAGATCAGAGCTGAAAGGCCGCGGTTAGAAACGGATTGGATGGTATTTTCTTCAACTCCAAGTGAAAGCAGTATTCTTTCCACAAGAGCTATCTTTGCATCTTTGTTCCCATCAGGCTTTTGCGACATGCTTACCAAAATCCTAGGAACAAAGTGCTTCTTCACTTCATCTCTCTTTATAATTTCTTGGCATAGTGTGGTTTTTCCGACACCAGCCATCCCTGTGATTCCGACAGCACTGAACTTTTCTTTACTTCTTTCGTAAACAAGCAGTTTCATCAGTGACATTATTTCATCATCGAAGCCATGAACCACCAGCGGACTTACAGATTGATGACTCTGGCGGCCAGTATCTCTAACATTTGATGAGTTCCCCTGATCATCCCGTCGTGGACTAAAGTTTCCATTTGAGGAAATTGTAATAGAATCTTTCGATTTAAGCTCCTCCTTGATTTCTTTCAAAGTATTCCTGATTCTCCACAGGGAAATTATTCCTTCACGAGATAAGAACGATGCTGCCTGACATTCAACCAAAATGTTGTTGAGGCGGTAGAGCTTTTCCCTGAGTGATGGCTTCTCTCCAGCGGGTGCGTTCTCAATATTTCGTCGAATCAGTTTCTCCAGTTCCTGAAGATCTCTTTTCCAGCTAACTTTGGAAGATTGAAGACCACCACTAAATTGATTCAGCAAATAGCTTACAACTTCATCATCCATATCAGAAATACTCTGTCAATCTTTGCTTGCCAAGATTGCAATAAATTCAAGACTTGGTGCGACGAAAAAGAACTGATGAAATGCCTTGGTTTTTTTAATGAGAAGATGATGTCAAAGAAGATACAAGGAAGATGAATTGCAGAGACATTTTTTGGAGTTCATTGACTTAGCGAAGTCTTCCTTGTTGGGTTTATTTTATTTTATTATCATTTGTTTATTACCAATTATGCTGTAGAAAATAATTCAATTAAAAGTTGTGAGTCCTAAACTAGTATTTTTATATTGAAAAAGTGATCATGATTTTTTTAAAAAAATTTATTTAAAAATATATTAAAATAATAATTTTTTAAAAAATTTATTTTTAATATGAGAAGATCAAAATAGTTGAAAACATTAAAAATATATTAATTTAAAAAATAAAAAAATATTTAAAATTTTTTAAAAATATTTTTGAAACACAAAAATAAATAGTAATTTGATTTGATAGGAATAGTTAATTTTTTTAAAATATTTTTTGTTTAAACAATATATGAAAATAATTTTTTATTATTATTTTTAATATAACATGTGTAAAAATGAAAATAATTTTTTATTATTATTTTTAAATTTATTTTTAATATAACATGTGTAAACAATTTTAAAATAATAAAAAATAAATAAATTTTAAACTTGGCTGCAATGAAAACTTCCTCTTGAAGGTAAGCTAACAGTAGAGCATGTATGACCTTTCACAGCTTCACTTGCTTTAAGTTAAGTCAATTATAACGATAAACCCACTTAGCCAGATGTTACTAAGCTTCAATTAGAGGTTCCAGGCAGTTTGATTAATCACAGGAGGTTTGCTTAAATATTAAATGGATAATAATTATGGCAATGTTTATGGGCTAATTATCGTGGATTGTTCGTTTCTTTAAGGCCTTCTGTTCCTTCACGATTCTTATACATGAAAAAGCAGTGAATGTTTGTTTTTAATTGTTTTTTTCAAGTGTTTTTAAAATTATTTTTTACTTAAAAAATATTAAATTAATAATTTTTAGATATTTTTAGATAATTTTAATGTATTGAGATTAAAAATAAAAAAATATTATTTTAATAAAAAATATTATCTACCACGATAAAATGTTTATGGACAATCTCTTTTAACAATTGCTAGCATTCCCTTCTTATTTATTTATTAGTAATTCTTTAAAATCATTAGTTTTTCTTCAAATTATTCCTTCTTATTTGCAAAATTTACAATTATCGGAGATTAAATCCATCTATGAGGAGATCATTTATCTATAAACTAAGATAAGATTTTAAGTAATTACTTCTTAATGCAACAGAAGGAAATGCAGGTGTTATGAATGTTTTTTTAAGTACCATGCATTTTTTTTTAATTTGAAAACAAAAGGTGTTATATATGCTTAATAAATTAATTAAAAACTAAATGAAATGATAAATAAAAACAAGTTACTGATGCTAATTAAATAATAAATTAAAAAGTTAATTATAATAAAAGTAAAAGATAGATACAAACGTAAATGTTTTACCATGGCTATTTATTTTATTTTACATGTTTTAATTTATTTTATGTTAGAGATTGATTGTTCATATGAACATGCAAGTTCATAGAGTTTCGTAAGAAAAGTAACAATAAAATACTCATTTCTTTTAGTTATATTTATATAATGATATGATTATCGAATCTCAAGATTGTTTGGTATTTAAAATCAAGTGTCCCGTTAAACTATGGTTAAGTTTCTATGAGTGGAAGGGGGAAGAAGATAAAATGAAATTCCCTTGAACAACTTAATATGCATTTACAAATATCATAAAATTTATAATTTAAAATAGTTTTTGCTATTAAAAAACGAAGGAAGGAAGGAAAGAAAGAAAATGAAGAATAGAAACACTTTTGATTATAGAAATAAAATAGGGATATAACATGTTTTCATTATATAAATTTAGAAATATTATATTATTTGTTAATTATATCAAATTTTGTCCTCAAATTTTGTTATTTGTTAATTATATCAAATTTTGTCCTTAAATTTTGTTTTTAATTTCATTTTCATTTAACTTTTTTCATTAACTGAACTAAATGAAATATGATGTATAAAAAGAAAAAGGTAAGGTTGCCTTCATACGAAAGCTCTTATAAAAAGGAATCCATAACCACTTTTTTACACAATTTTATCACCGGATTCGAGAAATATGTGAATTTGGATTTCTAGATATAGAAAATTGAAAATGAAATTTGTGTCTTAATTGATTACATAAACATAATTAATATTTGATCTTATTCTTGAAAAATTATCCAAAGATATCATTTTGGGTGGTGAATGATACGTTTCCCCGAAGCCTAAAAACTGATAAAAGGTTGAAGAAAGCAACATTTACCTATTACGTTTTTTTCAATATTTTATTTTAACTTTTTTTATGTATATATTTTTTTCAAATTTATTTTTTCATTCCATGAAAGTAAACTATAATTTATAGTTCATATCAATAAAGATTTCATTAAATTATGATTTCTTTTATTTGTGTTTTTTAAAATGAATTAAAATAAAATTTCCATATTCCATATAAACTAAAATAAAAAAAACTTTAATTATTATTATATTTAAGTTCAATGATTATACATATCAAGGGGAAGTAACTGATCCCTAACGCTAATCAATCCTTCATTATTTCATTGATTATAGATATTCTAGGATATTTAACAGACAACTGGGTTCTCCAGAAGACCAGTCCTTCAAAGAATTTGCAGCAACCAGCTTATTTTGACCTGTAGAATTAAGCTCTCTTAATGTATTTAAATATTTTTTATTTAAAAATATATTAAAATTATTTTTTTATTTTATAAAAATTATTTTTAATATTAGCAAATCAAAACAATCTAAAAACATAAAATATATTTTAAAAAATCATTAAAATATTCCATGGAATGAATTGATAATATGCATGGAGTTCTGTCTACACCCGGCTGATGGCATTCATGTGAAAAATGTACAATTAAAAATTGACTTCCCATTTAACACGAAGTTTGAGGCGAGAGTTCATTGATTCTGTCCATTCACATTGATGAAAGAAGAATATTATAATTCCAAATTGTTTGCTTTTAATATATTTATAAAGTTTTTAAACCATCTACCAGCAAATTTAATTATGCTTTTTGACCAAGATGAGCATATGGTTGGTACCTAACACTGTTGGATACATCGTGGAAGACATCAACACAAGGATTCTTAATCTTTTAAGCTTTACTGTCGACTTCTCTATCTCTGTTTGCATCCTTTACACCCGCAAAGTATTGGTAGCTTTTTAGTGCCATACTGCATGAATTTATTTGATATTATTATTAAATTTAATTATATATATATATATTAAGATTTTTCAACTTGAATCTTTATCTATTTCAAATTTAAAATTAAATTATCTAAATATAATATATTTAACTTCATTATAACATTTTTGCTTCATGATAAAATCATAGAAAGTCTATATCAAAAAATAATATAAATTATATTTTGATATTTTATCAAATAATTTAAATTTTTAGATTGAAATCATTATTTAATATTTTATCAGAGTTTTAATAATTAAGTAGTTATTAAATTATCTAAATATAATATATTTAACTTTATTATAACATTTTTGCTTCATGATGAAATCATCGAAAGTTTATATCAGAAAATAATATAAATTATATTATGATATCTTATCAAATAATTTAAATTTTTAGATTCAAATATATATAATTAATTTGATATATTTAAAAAAAAAATATTTTAAAAAATAATTATTACTTCTTAATCAAAAATCTTCTCCTAATCTTCACAGATAACCCCTACCGTTTACCTTTTCATACAGTGGACCAATCCACCTGACGATTTCAAGTTCTAGGGCATTAATCTACAATAGCTGATCCGTGATCTTATTCTAAGCGGCCTTGGCCCATGTTGGAAACAATTGAGACAACTTCAATCATAACATGAATCCTTCAACTGCTTTCTTTGACTCCTGTAGTCATCTCTGTAAACTCTCCCTTCTCTGAGCTTCAATAACTGGTTTTATACCAAATTCTGCTGGACTGTCGAACATAAAATCTACCCGGTGCATGCTTTCAACTCACTAACAAGCTGCATAGACTTTATTGATGGACCAAGCAGAGGGATAGGTCCATTCTATTGTAAATACTGGATCAGACCCAGGTCTCATGCCATCGCCCTCGTGCTACCAAACTAATCATGGATAGGACCATTCTACGATCACTACAGTTAAGACTCAAGTCAACTGTTTTTAAATTGTATTTTTTAAAAAAAATTATTTTTATTTTCAACACACACCATAGATATTTCAAAACACTGAAAACATGATTTAAAATTTTCAACACACACCATAGATATTTCAAAATACTGAAAACATGATTTTTTTTTAAAAAAAATCAATTCTTTGCATCCACCGATGCAAAAACAAACTGCCTCTTCTCTTTTTTATTTTTTATGTTCGCAAATTTCATCTCGGTTGCTTATACCAGGAATTGATAGGCATTATCACAGTTTAACATCAGAGACTCTCTGCTAGTTATCTTAACTTGAAGGCAAACAACCTGCCTCTGGTTCTTCAGGTCTAGACTAGATAATTTATAGTATATACTAGTCCTTGTCCGATTTACAGAAGAAAACATCATTTGAGTCTAACCATTGCACACTCAGCCGTCTGCCCGAGTAAAACAAGACGACAACTACCCAGTAACTATATTAAATTACAGGCAAAAAAAGCCTATAGCATGCTCCAAATACAAGCAGCTTTCAAGTTCGAAGCACATGAATAGCTTATTTCTTCGACAAAGATACCATGATCTTAAAGAAAGCTACGTGTCTTGTACGTTGTTTCTTCTCTCATATCCCCACAAACACATGCATTTCATCTATACAACAGCTGCTGCTACTTTAATTTATTTCCCTCCAATTCTTTACTGATTTTTTTTTCTTTTTTTAATTATCCATGACAGGCTTTCCCCTATGCGTTGACCAAAAAATATGCAATTCATTTCTTGCTTTTTTGCAAGTAATAATTCATTATCTTGGTAAGTCCCTCTCTTTTCCACCAAGCAAGGGACACAACCAAACTCCACCCTATAAACAACAAATACAAACAAATGTGGCAAGCAACATTCAAAGCTCTGTCTTGTCCTTGATGGTCCCATTCCATTAATACCCTTCTCATTCCATCCCAAAATTCTATAGAAAACAAAAAAAATAAAATTTAGATGGTCTCATTGCAAGTAATGAATTTCTTCTTCTTCTTTAGGAACACAACCAACTGAGCTTGCAATAAATTTCTATAGCTCGAAATCATAGCTCTTTCTTTTCTTTTCTCTTGGCTTTTATCTTTTTTTGGGTTTCTATTATGGTGGTGACATTGATGATGCTAAGATATTGACCAATTGCAGAGTCCCAATAATATCAGAACTGAGAAAAACTGAACAAAATATTGCCATCATGTGCTGCTGTAGCCATTCAATTTTCGCCGCTTGATCTCCGGCACTGTACTGCCATTAGTGATGGTGGTGGTGTTGGTGATGATGCTTGCGGTCTCACTTTCTGATTTTGTAAAATGCCTGTCTAGCACGCTCAATGGGGTTCTTGTACAGGACATTGTATCTAACATTGACTCGTACCATTCCATCTCCACCATTTCTTGCAGTGCATTAAAGCATTCTAGCAGCTTCTCCTAAACAATGGATGATTAGTCATTAATTAATTACCATCTATGCTAAGCCAGAGAATATATATATATATATATATAACAAACAAACCAAAAGATGAAATTTTGGGGTGTTGGTTGCTTACTTCATTTACAAATTCACAAGAGTAGATTGAGCACTTGAAACAAGGGAATTGCAATGGGAATCGTTCATTGGATGCTACAAGAAGGGCTGATGCTGCAATAATAGATGGCTTGAACTCAAGAAACTTAATTTCTGCAACAAAAAACATACATAGAATTGAATGCTAATAAAAAAAAAGGATGAATATGATTAGAGAAAAGTTTTTGAGATAAATGGGTGCGGTGCTTACCATTTTGAGCTTTAAAAATAATCTCTGTAGCTCTGTCTTTGAGAGGTTGTGAGGATGATGGATCTTTGAGTTCAAATAAAGAAATAAAGAAATGCACAAAAGAGAAAGGTGTAATCGATCTCATTCTCCAGTTCAAGGCATCAAGTACCAGAAGTTCCATGCGATTAATTGTTTGAGTGTCAAAGATGAAACCAGCTTCCGCTTCCTGTTTCATTGTTTAAACTATGCACGTAAGTTTCCATGGCCAACTTTGAATTGCATAGTCGGCTAATATATGGGGAAATATGGGAGCTTATTACCTGAGAATTGGAGATGGAGAAGTGTTTATTCTTCATCTTTGCAGCTAGAGAAAGGCAAGAGATTACTAGAAGTCTAATAATCCATGGCTTCCCTTGCTTCAAAGAACCAAGAATTTCAGCAAGAATAAATCAAGAATCGTAGCAAAATAGCAAGAGACACTTTTTATTTTAATTCGTTTCCATACCGGAATTTCTTGCCTGGAAATGAATCGATCCATGTAATTTACTGCAAGGTAGGGAATGAAGAGGTCATAGTTGCAAGAATATTGTGCCTGCCAAAAGCTAAGACAACATTATTACAACACAAAACCCCAATCAACAAAGGAGTTTACACACATAAGTTATTGCTGCGTTTATAACCTGTAAAATGCGAGAAATGGCTTCTTCACGAAAGGAAACGTAGAAGTCAGAGGTTTTCAAGCAGTGTAGGAAATTTCTTGAAGGCATGTGATCAGATTCAGAAACAAAGAGATCTGGGATTGTATCAGATAAGTATTCTTTCAAGCTTGTCAAAGGGTTTTCAAGATCAAACTCCATTTTTCACCTTTTGTTTTGTGTCTGTGTCCTTGTTTGTATGAAAGTGTGTTTTTGTAAGAAAAAGAGACAGAAAGAGAGTCAATAAGAGAAGAGAGGTAGTGTGAGAAAAGTGAGCCAAAGAAGATGAGTAGTAATAATGATAGAAAGAGAAGCTTCGCTTTCTGTGTGTGAAATGAAAATAAATAAACACTCTTCCACTTCACTTCTCGGTTTACAGCTCCTCTTCCATTAACTTTCTCATTACTCAATTTCATGTTACCCAAAATTATCATTTTTTTATATAAAAAAATCAAAAAAATGCAAAAAATTAAATAATATAAAAACAAAAAAGGGTTGAAAAAAAAGAAGAAGAAGGACAAACAACTTGGTTGACAAGAACATACAGAAAAAGGATTTAAATGCATAAATAAGAGATGAAGGGATTAAATTGGATCTTTGACAATATTAGAAACTCAATTGCACCCTTGAAGTGCTTAAATGTGAAAGACAATACAAATTCAAAGTTAACTTAAGTAAATATTAGAGGAATTTGCATACAAATTAAGTTTGAAGATTTAATTAAATTTTTAATAGGCTGATTTGATTTAATTATAGGTCTAATTAAGGATTTAATTAAGTTTAATAATTAATTTGGATCAAAATTAAAAGAATTAATTAAGTGCAAGGACTTAATTAAACTTTAAATTGGTCAAATTAATTTTTATTAAGGATTTAATTGGTAAAAAAATTAAGTTTGAAAGCCTAATTTAAACTTACCTAAGAAGACTGGAATTTTTAAATACCAAATTTAACTTTACAAGCTTAATCGAATGATATCAGTGGTGAAATTATAAGAAAATCAAAGCTTATCGGTTAATTAAAAGCCAAATTGAAGAAATTAAATATCAAGGATTTTTCTGGAAAAGGCGCGCAACATTGGGGGCTGTATTAGACTTTTTTAGAAACTAAATTAAAGAAAATCAAATATTGAAGCTTAATCAGGAGCTAAATTGAACAAAGTGAAAATCTATGATTACTTTAAAAAAGGCGTCAAACTTAAAGGGTGTCAATTGATGTTTGATAAGGGCCTAATTGCATAAAATTAATCAATTTTATCTCTATTAATGACATTTGAGCTCAGATTAAAAGACCAGGGACTAAATTAAAGATTGCTCGATCCCAATTACTAAAACCCTAATTTAAAGGTTTAAAGATAGCAATGTCATTTTGGTTAGGGTTCTCCCATTTTAACTGACCTGAAACACTTTTTTAAGCAATAATCGTGTCAACTTCAACCACCACCAAACGAACAAAAACGACCATTCAATAAAAGAGCTTTCCTTCTACAAGTTTATGTCATCATTTATCGATGTTTGTATCCTACCTACTAAGTGGAAGCCCTAAACTTTGTGTCCTAAGATAACCTTATCTAGTTCAGTAAAATTCAATAATGTTACACCTAACTTTGAATCAATGGTAGAAAGCTACAAGCCACCAAATCAAACATAGTTTGATCCTAGTTGAAGACTATCATCCCCTCTACATGATCTATAGCTTGGTTGGCTTTAATGACCTCTTATTTTCTATGATTAATTCAAGGAATGTGCACCCTCAATCAACCATTTTCAGTCAAGGTTCAGTTATGAAGTTCTTAGCTTTTTTAAAAAGTTCTAAGAGTTTATTAAATATTTATGGAGAGGGAAAATAAAAGAAGAAGAGAAGAGAGTGGTCCCTTAACATATTAGAGGACAAATAAGATAAAAAAAATTATAATTTAATTTTGGAAAAATACTTTTAAACCCATAAATATTTTCACAATCACTTGTCATTTTGAAGCTATAAAAGGGTTGTCTTTTGAAGTTAAACGAGAGGAATAAAAAAGGTGAAAAATCCATGAAAAAAGAAGAAACATGAGGATAAAACTAGTCAAACAGTAAAAAAAAAAAAAAGATATTATAAAGAAGAAAATCAAAAGCTTATTGGAAAGGACAACCATGTATATGCATGTTTGAATGTTGAAAGTAGGTTATAGGTTTTGATATTATGCATTTTAAAATTTACATGTTTATTATTGTTTTTAAAGGCTTAAACATGTATATTGGTGTATGTGATTTGAGTGAACAAGCCTTAGACCTTTATTCTAGGTTTTGATGCATTTTCTTAATTTTAATAGATTTTATGTCTCTAGGTTTAACATTTATCCAAAGAAGATTGCTATAGGTCTATGATTTTCATGTCGTTTTGATTAATTATTGGTTCTTATGCATGCTACAAGCTTGTTGATCATTAATTTAGGATCCTAAAGGCTTAAAAACACTAAAATCTTGGCATTCAATCTTTGGTTCTTTATTTATATTTTTTATAAAATCAAACTGTCATGATGATTTTACATGTTCCTTAGATTTTGAGAAATTTGGTCTGAAATTGAATTTTCATTTTCGGGTTTACATTGAATGTTTTTTGTATTCTTAAATTATGAGTTTTTATCCATTTCAATTTGAAATTTATGAAAATTGTGTTTTTACCTTATTTGATCGGTTTTCATTGGTTTGGGCCTTTTTTTTTGGTTTATAGGCTCAGCCCACCAAGCCCATCACATATGGCTAGGCTAACCCATAAAACTTCAAGGCTTTGTTTGGTCCATCCCAATTTTGTTAAGAAAAAAACCTATTTTTCTTCCTTTAAATCATGTTTGACAAACACGTCTTTAGCCTTGAATATGCATTTTTCTTCTTTGTATTTCTGATCCATTACCAAACATCCTAAAGAATTCAAGTACTATTTTAAAATTATTTATAGATCCTTCATATGTTTTTTCCCAATCATTTCATTTAATATTTGGGATGTAAAATTACATCATAACATAGCAACCCAATAGTAAACATACCGACTTTCTTATAAAAATTCAAAAAAATATAAAAAAGTCCAAATTTTTTTATTTTAAAAATTAAAAAATACGCTTTTATTTGTGTGCGTATGATTAAATTCTAAAAACTTTCATGCATATTTTATATAAAAAAAAAATTCTAAAAACTTTCATGCATATTTTATAAAAAAAAAAAAACAAATTACATTTTTATCATACTTTGAAAAAAAAACAAAAATCACTTTATAGATATCATAACAAGTTTGTGATTATCCATTAAAATTTGATCAAAATTTCAAAAACAACACAAAAAATAATTTTTTAATTAATATTTGAGGTATAAAGTTTACATTGTAATGCAAATTCTCATAATTAAATTAAATGAATTAACAAAAAATTATTTGAAATTAATTATAGACTTTAATATTTGAAGGTATAAATTTATGTTGTAAAGTATATTTTCAAGTATTAAAGTTACAAAATAAAAATAAATACACTATTAAAATTTTAGCTTTAAAATGATTAAAATTTATCTTGATAAAGCTGAGACCTTTTTACTAAGAGGGATTTGTCTTGAGCCCATTGAGATAGAAACCTCTTTACTAAAGAGTATCTACCTTAAATCCATAAGATAATGACCTCCTTACGGAGAAGGATTTTTTTTAAATTTTAGATAAACCAACGAATAGAAACATGATTTAGAGAAAAAAATAATAATAAATCAACAATACACTTTACAATAGGTATGGTGCACTAAGGATGATGTGTTTGCCCCATGAACAACTAGTCACCTTATCCAGACTCTTGTAAACCTTTAGGTTTTCTAGTAATCATAATACTAGATGACGATTTCTAAACTCTTCAAATTATAATTTCATGATTAATCCCAACACAACTAAAACCCCTTTTGATCTAGGAGGAAGATCTACCATGTAACATTGTGCACACTACGACAAACTTATATATGTCCTGGTTATGTCCCTCTCTGATGTTATTGGGAAAGAAAATAATAACATTCATCGAATAGATGTCTATTGAAAATAACTTTAAAATACTATACATGTTTATCCCAACCAATTAAAAGTTAAAAAAATAAAAGAATTTTAGGTGTAATAAAAGAATTTTTTTTCACAAAAGGTCTGTTAATTTTGTATAAAAAACTTGAAAAATAATTCCTTGAACCAAAATTACTAATGTTGTAGTATATAGCTTATAGGCAGATGTTAAAGTGGAGTAAAAGGGGTATTATTGAAAATTAATAATACCTCTTATACATCTAGAATTTATTATAAATGCATATTATGTAACCATAATTTGATATATAGAGAAATATAGCTCATCACTCCTGTGAATGTAGACCTATTATCGAACCATATTCCTGTGAATGTAGACCTATTATCGAACCACATAATTTTTTTTTTTTTCTTTTCTCTTTTTTGCAATATTCATCTTTATTATTGCAGGATTCATAACAACTGGTATTAGAGCCTGGTTACGATGTTAGAGATTTCTTCTGCAAAATTTGATAAAGGTTGATGGATCTAGTAATTTAAGATTATGACAGAGAAGGGTGAAGGATTTGTTAATATATAAAGGTATGATGAAGGCGTTATACAGAAAACAAACAGAACACAAAAATGGCATAGATTGGTTGGAGCTAGAAGTGAGGGCTATGACAACTATAATGATTTTTGTAGATGATGGCGTGATGTATCACATCATGGATGAGGAATCATCAGAGGCAGTTTAGGCAAAACTAGAAAGTCAATATATGTTGAAGTTATTGATGAACAAATTTTATCTTAAGCATCAAACTATTTAGTCTTAATATGTCAGAGCGCATAAGCCTGAATTGGCATATCAATGTGTTCAATTAAATTGTCACTGATTTTAAACGAATTAATGTGAAGTCCAACAACGAAGACAAGGCATTGATTTTATTGAATTTCCTACCTACTTCTCTTACTTAAGAAAATTTAGTTACGACTCTTATTTGGGGGGGCTCTCATATCAAAAAAGATCACAAGTGCCCTATTAAGCTTTAATATGAGAAAGAAAGTTGGTGATAAAAATTCTAGGTAAAGAGCTAGTAGTGAGGAGTTATCAGGAGTGTGGGAAAAACAAATCCCGGAGCGAATTGATAAACAACAAAGCTCTATCTAAATCCAGAAAGTAGTAGTGAGGAGTTATCAGGAGTGTGGGAGAAACAAATCCCGGAGCGAATTGAGAAACAACAAAGCTCTATCTAAATCTAGAAGAAATGATATACAATGTTATAAGTGTTGAAAAATTGGGTACTTAAATGAAAATGGCTAGAGAAAAAGA